TGTCCGACTCTTGGGCCGCGCTCTGGGCCTCCGGGGATGAGACCTCTGCCCGGGCCCGCCCGCCCCTCCGCTGCCCAGAGCTGACCGCGTGCGACGGGGTCGCTCCGGTGGCGTGGTTTTGGTTTTTTGTTTTTTTGCGCCAGTAAATGGGACCGCCTTTCTTCAGCGAACACTGAACAGCTGCCTAGATAAGTTGAGAAAAGCGAAGCTTTGGAAAAGAGCATCAAAAGTAGTGAAGACAATGTGTTTTATACTCAACCAGTGTATATTTTGTTTTTAAACTTTGGTTTTCTGTTCTGGAGACACTGCTTTTTAAAAGTGTCTTTGTTTTAAATTCTCATCGGCAACCAGGCTTCACTCTCAATATTTTTTGAATATTTTAATAAAATGGAATTTATTCATTTGTGTACAAGCACGCATACATGTGATGTTGTATATGCCACCGAGGAGCCTGTCAAAAATTGTGAACTGATAGAAAAAATGTGAATAAAAATACTTGGATTTACCTTTTGCCTTCCCCTCTAGTTATGTGACCTCAGTGGAATTCAATGTTTGTTGTATCGAGCGACTTTTGGGATAATTTACATTATTCGGGAGACAGACTTTGTCAATGAAATCAGATGCCTTCTGTGGGGAACTCCAGGGGCAAACATTTCAAAAATTTACAAATAAGCCACTTGATTAGGCAGCCAGGGGAATTCCAGGACCCTGAACCATTTCCCATTTCCGTCTGCGTCATTTCTGCCTGCCAGTCAGTTACAGAACTGGAGGGCTTCTGTTCAACTGTTTATAGTAAAAAGAAAGTATTCATGATAGTTTGAGATACAGAGAAAAGAAATGCCCTGGTTCCCAATGACTAAAAATTTCCAAAAAATGCATATGGGTCACGGTAGCAACTCAATATTTAGTTCAAGTTACTGTTTCTCAGAAAGTTACAAAACATTCCTTTATATATGTGGTAAAACATAGCAAGAATTGTTAAAAAAAAAAATAGGGCCACTTTTCTAACGACAAAAAAAAGTTTTGTTCATTTTGACTTCAGGAATTTTTTTCCACTGTTGTCCTGACCAAAAAAAGTAAGATAATGAATGTCATTCGGGGTAATGGGAAATTTGCATTTCAAAAACTAAAAAGCCTTAGGTGCCTCCCTAAATAAAATATCATTCATATACTTTACTGCCTTTAATTGTGTACAACTTTGGAGTCCAGTATTAACATTTACTCAGTTGTCCCTTTTATTCAGTCTTTCTTTTCATACTGCCAATGTAGAGTTGCTGGGTTTTCTTCCTCCTCCCCCCTCCTCCC